GGAATGCTGTACCATTCAGGGAAGGAGCCACTGTTTCTCTTTTGCTTACTGATAGACCTGTGATGTATACATCTGCTTTAGTTCATGGAGTGATAGGTTCCAGAACTACTGCCAAAGGTAACAGCATAGGCAAGTCTCATGGGACACTTCTCCTTAATTTGTACTGGTATGTCAACTCATTGATCACTTTTACTAATGTTCTGCAATGGTATCAAATGCTTGGGGGTTGCTACCTACTCTGCAATATCACCCTAACCGTGAAAGAACTGCCCTACGCAAGAGCCCTCCTGTCAGTCATTTCAATCACCTGGGATATTAAAATTTACTTCATAGCCTCTTAATTTTAATCAGAACAAATACATGCCAGTCTGTAATGCCCAGTGGGTATCCACTCAGAACCAAACCTTGCTTCTTCACTGTCTGCTGACATGGGTTTCTATCCTCAAGGATACATAGTTTTAATTTCTCTAACAAGCTGGCGAAGAAACATCACAGCTCTTAGCTTTTGCCCTTACAGGCAAATCTCATGTTCTCATGTGGAAATATTAGGAAGTATTTACTATGTGACTGGCTGAACAGGCATGGGACAAGCAGCCACTGATGGGGAGGGGTGACAGGGCAGGTGGGAGAGATGGAAGTGAGAGAAGGCCTCTGAGCAGCTATCAGGACCTGGATTCTGTCACGATTACATAGGCTTGTTACATAGCTCATTACGCCAGCTAAAGGCAAACACACTACTCCTGCTACTTCAAGGCCCCTTTCTCCCCTGCACTGATTAATTTTCCCTGTCCCAAGATTTTTATTTTATCTTTCAAGAGCAATAAAACATGCTATTTGCAGTCCTGAAAACTCAAGAGTACTGCAAAAATCTCTGACAAGACTCTCCAGTTAAAAACAAACAAACTTAAAACCCCAAGCAAACAGAAAGCCGTGCCCTCAAGACCTGTTCTCTGCATGCTGCTTTTTCAAAGTTCTTTGTTCCTCATACCCTTCTCATCTATCAGTAGTAAACCATTGCTCCCAAATTAGTAAAACAGCTTCTTGAAACTCTGCAACAGAGGAATCTGGAATACCCAGCTATATATTTGGGTAGAGAAAGGAATGGGGTTTTTCATGGTGTACATCAGCAGCACCCTTCGGATCCCTTCCTAGCCAACTCTCAAAAGATCCCTTTCTATCACAGTGGATGGATGACAGACAAAGAGCTAACACACATAGAGTCCCATTTTTCCCTATCAGGCTTCCCTGGGAGGTGGGCCCTTCTAGTAGAACCCTTGGCCTCGTAACAGCACTGAGAGCTTTAAGAAACAAAAAGCCCCCTAAATGAGGGTCAGGATAGCAGCCTGTCCTTGTGAAAGTCACATACCAGTAAAATAAGTAAAATGCTGGAATTGCTTTTCAGAATGGGAAGTAATGGGTTAGCGCTGTTCAGCTGATCAGACACGCCAAAAGCAGCTTCTTCAGTCTCGGTTTGCTTGCAGTCTCCCCAGGAAAACCAGAGTTGGAGGACTTGGTGTCCAAATCTCCCCATAAGTTCAGGGTAGCGCAGGAAGAATTTCAGCAGGAGAGGACAATGGACGTAGACCAAGCTCAGATCTGGAAGATTATCCAGGATCCTCCTTATGGTACACAACGACCTCTGGTAAGTGTGTGGGAGGGAAAGGGGGAGAGAGAACAAAATAATCACTGGATACTGAATATCGAAAAGCTGAAGTGATGAGAGTTTACTGTGAGAAACAGTCACACTGCCTTTTAAGTAGGCAATCAAATATATCAGTTAAACATCACTTCGTGAAGCCCATTTGCATCACAAAGGCTAAGAAACTTGTAGGCTTTACACAGTGCTCAAAGCTGTGCAGCAGCAAAGAGCCATATGGGAACACTAGAAAGCCTGCTGCAGAGGCTGTAGATGTGTTCAGGAGACTGAAGCTATGAAATTTATTACATTCTGTATGTGAATTCACAGCCTTTCCAACGCATTTACACTTCCCACACATACACAAGTTTATTCAGTCAAATCTATATTCCCTAGTGGCTTTTCACAGTTAACTTTCCAGAGTGCAGATGCACTGCACACTCTTCACTCATTCACCGCTCACCACCTATGTCAAAATACTTTCTGCAAGAGGGCTGATGGAACTGGGGAGAAACCTTAGTTTCAACAAAAAGGGTCCAAGAGGTAGGAATGAAATCTTCTTTTACCAAGTCCAGGGCTTTGCCTTTGTCCTGACAAACAGCAAGGAGGTAAAGTGCAGCTCTGAGTATGTATGGAGGGGGACAGTCTCCATGGTCCTGTGCTGATAGGAGGAAATTTCTTATGGCTAAAAATAACTCTGCTTCTGGGACAAACCTGCATTCAAGGAGATCAGAGTGGAAACTGTAACATTAGACATGTCTTACCCACCAATACATGGTATGTAATGGCCACCTGCCTTGTATACCCTTGGCTTACCTGTCCCCAAGGGTGTAGGCAAAGTATAACAGCAGTATGAAGCAGTGTTGGTGGCTGCAAAGAGACTGATCCAAAGAGAAAGGTGCAGCCGTTTCAGCCAGGAGGAGAAGGCTTTCAGCAATGGTGTAGTTTAACTGAGGCAGACCCTTCTGCAGGAGCTCAGACATCTCTTGCTCTAGAAATAAAATTAACATGAGCAGGCAGGCAGTGATGAGGAATGTCTACGACAAAGCAGATTGGAACAGGGGGATTGAAGCACCTGCCTGCCCTAACTCAAGCACATTAAATTAGAGAAGCTCCTGATGTAAGAAATATCAAAGCCAACCTACTACCCCACAGTCTGCATACAGCAAGCGCACCTCTATGATTTGGCATGAATAGAGGTGTGAGACCTGATTTAATGGAGCTGGCTTTGAGGATGAAAAGACACTTCTGTTTGAGGTTCCCAGCTCTTTGCTGATGCTGCCTGTATGGTGATCAACCACTGCCAGTGGGAAAAGTGGCTTCTGTGATGTGGAAACTTTCATCTCATTTATTTGGGACTTACCTATTATGGAAAGTTACAGTATAGACAGGAAAGCTTTACAGAGTATGCCAGGGGGAAAAATGACCTTAATCTGCAGATATGGGTGACTATGGGGCAAGTAATATTGTTTCAATTAAGCCATGCACAGTTGTGCTAGTAAATGTCACCATGTAAACAAAACCATAGGCAGATGAAATACATTCTTTCAGGTAGGGTTCCAAACTCTTCAAAAGACATTCTCTGACTGTCATCTCCTTGCTGGACCACCTTAAAAAAAAGCTGGGGGAAAAAAAAATCTCTAAATAGAGCTTATGTGTGTCCTCCCTTCCCTCCTCCTTTGCCTTTTTTTTTTTTTTAAATTATTTTTGCACCTATTGCCTAAACAGAGGGTGGCAGGGCCTCAAACTAAATGAAGCAATCTGTCTCTTTCCCCAAACTTGCCCTCCTGAGAAGAAGTTCTCTCCTGCTCTGTGGCAGAGTAAAGACTCAGGCACAAGCTGCAGAGGAAGCTGGAACAGGCCTGATTCAAGGCAGGATTACTGTGAAGAAGAGCAGAAAGATACAGTGAAGGCGGCTGGAAACATCCTCTTCATACCTCTAATATCACACACTGTCTGCCAGAACCTCAGTTTACTGAATGATCACATACAAGCACCAGCCCCATCGCAACAAGACTCCAGGAGCCAACCTTGGCTTCCAGGAAAATGAGGAGTTCCCAAAGGACAGTCAGCTCACAGATGTGGTGGGTGTGTGCGGTGACGACAGCGAACATGTTCACATACCTTGGGACAGTCTGAATACAGTGGGGTACCCTCATAATCATCATACCTGGTATACACAGGGAGTCCTGTAAGGGCAGGACCCCTAATGCTGCAGAGAACGGGAGGTGCTTGAGGGTGGATCCTGATACCCAATTCCACTGGCAAACACCAGTAAGGAGATTTTGTAGCAATGGTGTTCCCAGGGATGAACAACAAAGAATGCCAAAATGTTAACTAAAAGGGTGAGAACAGCTCTATTTCCAGGTATTTCTCTCTCTCCAATGATTTCCTTGCAGAACAGGACATAACCAAATATCTTCGCACTGTAACACACCAACCTTGGTACTCCATGCTACTGTATTCAGAGGCCTAGATCACCCCCACACACACACCATCCACAGGCACAAACACCCCCACTCTAAATTCCACAGTGGTAGCCTGAACTAGGGGTGCTGTGTATTTTATTTACTCTTTTAATGAGATGCAGTCACAGGAAAGAGGAGGTAAAACATGTCTGCAGACCCACAGAGAGTCTCCCCAAGTGCTCCTCAACCTAGAAATCATAGCCCCTGCTACAGAAGAACCTATGTAATGTCTGCTGTTG